ACACAGAGAAGCCCTGTCTCAACGCTCCCCCTCAAAGATTTTTTTACATTGTTTTTTATATATGTGTGAGTGAATGTCACATATGTCCAGGTATCCTCAGAGGCCAGAAAAGGGCATTGGGTCCCCTGGAGCTGGAGTTACAAGTAGCTATGAGTTGACCAATATGGGTGCTGGAAATAAAGTGGGTCTTCTGAGAAGTACTCCTAACTGTGGAGTCACTCTCTGGTCCCTAGATTTACTGTCTTAGAGAGGACAAATCCGGGAGATGAGCCTAGTCAGCAAAGTGCTTGCCTGGCAAGCATGAGAACAACTGTGGGGCACAAAGTGAGTTGAGCATGGTGGCACACTTATAATCCCAGTGCCCGGGAGGCAGGCACAGGGAAGTTCCTGGGCTCACTGGCCCAGCAACAGCCTCCTGTCTTCAGCAAGCTCCAGGCTATGAGTTGACCATAGTCCGGAAAGAATGGTGGCAGTGTCTGAGGAACGACGTCCAAGGCTGTCTGTCTTCCGACCTCCAGATGCATGTTCATACATGCACATGCTGCCTCCAGACGCATGTTCATACATGCACATGCACAACCCCCCCCCCCCATACACACACATAGATTCTGGCTTTATACAAATCTTGCCAACCTTCCCATACCCTACGTGCTTATAGACTTCCTGCCAATTCCTCCTTGCTTTCCACAACTGGTATCCTTCCCTTCTCTCCTAAGCTTATTTCCTGTCTTCTGGATGATACCAGTAGTGGTATTGCTCAGGGTTAAATGTAACTGGGAGCTGGGCAATGGTGATGCACACCTTTAATCCCAGCACTCAGGAGGCAGAGGCAGGCAGATCTCTGAGTTCCAGGACAGCCTTATCTACAGAGTGAGTTCCAGGACAGCCAGGGCTACACAGAGAACCCCTGTCTCAAAACTCAAAAAAACAAAACAAAAGAGTAACTGGAAGACATGCCCTAGGACAGCAGACCCCAGAAAACTGGCCCACATGCTCTGACAGGTGCGAATGCTCACCCTGGCACCTCCCTTCCCATCCAGTCAAGAGAGCTGAGAACATACTTATATCTCCAGAGGAAATCCAGGTTTGGGTGAGCCAAGGAATGAAAGAAGGACACTGTGAATGGTGGCTTTGTGCAGAGTTTAAAAACAGCGACTGTTCAGGGGAAGAAAGGAGAAACTCGGTTCACATAGTTCCTCCACCCCACCTTTCAACATCTCACCGAGGCCCAGGCTGATCTTCAACTTGCTTTCCTTCTGCCTCAGCCTCCCAAGTGCTGGGACTACAGGTGTGTACCACCCTCAAAAACACTTCTTTATTTTCTTAGCTACTCCCTCTCTTTTTAAATAATATAGCTAAACTTCTATTTAGTCCCCTTCAAAGACCAAAAATTGTGAATTAGTAAAATTTTAGTGATTTCTGTTTTGTTTGTTTTTGAGACAGGATCTCTCTGTGTAGCCCTGCCTCTCCTGGAACTCATTGTATAGACCAGTCTGGCCTCGATCTCAGAGATCCATCCACCTGCTTCTGCCTCCTGAGTGCTGGGATTAAAGGTGTGAGCCACTATAAATTTTAGTGGTCTTTAATTTCATTCCAATCATTCCTATGTAAAAGTTGAAGGAGAGAAGAAAGGACCTTCATAGGACAGAAACTTTGGGATGACAGATGACAGGGAAAACGGAAGACAGAAATACCTGTGTGCTGCTGGGCACGGGGCATGTGTCTGCAAGGCCAGCGAGAGTTACAACTGGGGCAAGTGAGTCTGAGGCTGGCCTGAGCTAGTCAGACTGTCCCAAAGAAACCAGGGGGTGGGACAGGAAGGGAAGAGATTATGGAGCTGTGTATGGTGGCACATGGGTCAAATCCCAGCATTTGGGAGGTGGAGGTGGGAGAATCTCAACTTCTAAGCCCAACCTGGTCTCTATATAAATACTACACACACAAACATGTCTGCACACATTACATACATGTAACTAGATGAGCTGGGCTCAATGTGTCAAAGTGTGCAAATCCCACATGTAATACAACCAACAGAGGATGAGACCATGCCAAGATGAAAGGATTTTGAAAGAGAACTGACTATAAGCAGAGCAAATGCCAAACTCTGGTTGTTGTTTTTTAATGGTTTATTTTGAGGAGCCAAATGGATTTGTCAATCCTGGGAATACCCAGAGAAGCACGTAAGACTAATATACTCTTGTCTGCCATCACATTCCAACTATCTATATAGCCCATCAACATGTGACATACATATTGGCAGAATGGCCTTCTGACCTCCACACCTACACCATGGCATATATACACTTACCCCACCCACACACATTATTCACCACAGAATACTTTGTTGAGTATTACCTAATCAGCCTCCTTTCTCTAAGAGATGCAATTGATGCTAAAAGGGAGATTTAAGCAAGTCACATGTACAGTGTGCAAATCTCATAAATGAAATCTCTTATTTTATAAACCAAACATAATCAAAACCTTTTGAAGAGAAAATGTCTTTTAGTTTTGTTTTCTACACAGAAACCAACAAATTGCATCCTCTCCCTCTTGCAGAGGACAATTCACATCATGTCAAATTAGGTCATTTCCAGATACACAGCAACTGCTTCAGGCAGACAATACAATACTACCACACTATTCCTTCATGGTCAGCTCTAACTCCCATCATCTAGCGATGTCTCCTCATAGTTACTAATGAAGCTCAGCTAAGCATGTTATCAGTTCTCTCTCCTCTCTCTCTCTCTCTCTCTCTCTCTCTCTCTCACACACACACACACACACACAGGTAGCATAATCTTGATGTGCAGTGTCCTTTCTCTCTCAAATAGGGAATGAGAGGCACATACTTTGGAATTTGCATTGTCAAACAGGACACATGCATAGCACGGATTGGGGCTTGTGTCACCAAGCAGAGCCAGCGATTCCCACATGCTTAGGGTTAAGTGCTGCATGCCAGATCCAAGGGAATGTGTAATATTTTGGATTAAATGTATATATATATTTTAGAGAATCTAAAATCTGTCTTAAGAAGTTCTAATGGAAGTTTAAAACCCTTACTCAAGAAGAAAGTGGATTAACATACACAGCCCTACATTTACTCAGTATGTCCCCCATGTGGACCGGGAATTGGCCTGTACCCTGAGAGGATAAGAGGTCACAAACTGGTATCACTCACTTGACAGAGGAAAAAAAACTGCAATTCTGAGAGTCAACAGCTTGTCCAGGCCTCCTGACGACAAACAATTTCTGTGTAGGTTCCTGTGAAGTTGTTTGGTCTGTACATGCTGGAGAGGCAAGCTGACCCTGGGCAGACACTGACCCTGGGCAGACACTGACCCTGGGCACCTGTCCAGGGTTTTTGTTTTTTGAGACAAGGTGTGGAGATCACATTGATCTCTGCTCTAAGTTCTCCATACCGTGCCTCGCCCTGGACGATTTTCATTTTACACGCAGCACTGGGCTCCATTTTGAGTGCTAACACAGAAGCAGGGTAATTCTGCACCTCTCTGTATACACAGATACCACATCTGTCAGGCACCAAACAGGAGACAGACAGACAGACAAACAGCCATAAACTGATAAAGAAGATTAGGAACGCATGAGCACACTGACATATTAAAACTGAACCAGAGAAACCAGGCCCAAGAATTTACGGACTCCTTCACCTAGATTCCACAAAGAGGAGGACACCTAACAGTGTGGTAACGACAGCCACACAGGCCTGTCACCTGCCATCCAGCTGTGCACCAAGGGACCCACAGGCTGAGAACTCTTGGCTGTCCCTAGGACTTCACTTCAGCTATCACCCCAATGGTGGTGTACTACACTGTAACTGCAGCCCCTCCCCGACCATCAGTTGTCCACTGCCTCCTATCTTACGCCTCTATGGTCTCACACCTCACCTCTGCAGGCCTGCTCAACCTGGAGACCTTGTGGCTTGGCTCTACACATCTGTAGCAGTTCAACTGGGTCCTTTCTATTGTCTCTAACTACTGCAAGGACTGCTTCTGTCTTTACCTGCTCTCTGCCTCTGCCTCCAGGAGGGACCGGTGTAACTCCTGAACTCTGCTGTAACCCTTTTCTAACCTACAAACATACATGTTTATATAAATAGTGTGCCGTGTGTAATGAGTGATATGAAAAATTCAGGCATAGTGCTTATAGCACAGTCTCAAATAGCCTAAACTGCCTCAAGCTCTCTAATAGTGAGTGTAACCTTGAACTCCTGATCCTCCTCTACCATTACATCCAAGTGCTGGGATTATAGGTGCGTGTCACCACTCCTGACTCTCCAAAGCATTGAGCAATTGAGCAACATTTTGGTTAATAATTCTTTTTTTTTTTTGTGGCTCTAGAATGTAATCCCATAATTATACTGACAAAACCACTTCTGACCAGCAAAGCTGCTAACATCTATAATATACAAATTTTATCAATGGAAGAGCCCTGAATATCCATCTTGAAACATCTATGGACTGCTTACAACAATGAGAAAATTACGTTATGTATAATTAGCTAATTTATTTCTTCACATTTTCTGACCTACTCTCCCGGTACCTCCTTCTTTCAGGTATAGAGCAGGAGCTGGGAACATTTCCTGTTACTAATTTAAAACTTTACTTACAAACACAGGCAAGTAGGCCAGGTTTAGTTCACAGGGTTGCATTCTGCCAACGCTGGCTTGGAGCAGTGAGTTCTCAAGCTTTTGTTTACTCTGAATCACCTAAATGACTGCTAACGCACAAATTTCTAGAGTCCATCCTCAAAGTTTTTCATTCCATGGGTAGGGCTGTAGAAGACCCTGAGATTATGTGTTTTTAGTAGTTCCCAAGTAATGCTGATGCTGCTGGTACAGAAATCCCACTCTGAGAACCGCTTGTATAGAACAGTAGTCTACTACCCCCAATGAAAGATGAAACAGTGAAAGTCTAATTAAGCAAAAAGTACGTTGCAAACCTGACTGATACTTTTATAGAGTATTTCATAGGAAGACTTACTGTTCAGTGCCATAATGTTATCTGTTCCTGGATGATGGAAATTTATTCCCATGCGTCCTGGAAAATAAAGTAATTTTATCTTAAGCACACATACACACAAACAAAAAAACATTGTTCAATATAATTATTTCAAATACACTACAAAATATACACATTACAAAACATTACAGATTAATCTATAGCAATGCTATCAAGGCCAAAGCATTTACAACAATTTAAAATCAATTCATAAAACACAGACATGAAAAGCCTTAAAACAAAGCCAAAGTCTCAACACAAAATACAACCAAACAAAAAGAAGCTTCCGTTATAGTCTGAAATTTGTACATCTCCCATATTAAATTTAAACAAGTCCATTTCCTGGGTAAACATTTTATTTAAACAATCATGTATTTATGCCCTTCAAAGTAAGGCATAAAAAAGAAATTTAGAGAAGTTTATAAACATGAAGTTTATAGAGAATAAAAAGATAGTTTCATAATGGCTCAAAAATGCAACATAATTACCAGAGTAGCAAAATGAAGAAAGATGGTAAATTTTATGCAAATACAGCAAGGGAAAGAAAGACTGATGTAAAACGTAAGCGTTCGTAAGTTGTCCTGCACTCCCTTTCCTTCTGGGGTTGGTTTGTATGGTGAGTTGTTGTGTTCTTTATGACTGTGTGGTCCTCCTGATCTAGAGCTCACCATGTACACTAGGCTGGTCTCTAGCTCACAGAGATCTGCCTGTCTTTGTCTCCCTCAAGAACAGGGATTAAAGCATGCACTACCTTGCCTGGCCCCACCACTAACTACTCTTAGGACCTGTGATAAAGATGAAACTCTGGAAAGTCACATTTATGAATAACATGGGAATTGAAACTTCTGCCCACATTGGTTGGCTTCCTATTTTTATATACTTCTGAGGTTAAGAATCATTTTTACATTTTTAATGGGCTGGAAAACCAAACAAAAGCAAAGAGGCAACAGAGCCCTGTGTCTTGTAAACCCTAAAATATTTATTCTGTAGTCCTTCACAAAGTTTGAACCCTTGATCTATAAGATCATAAATAGAATCAGATGTTTCAACTAATGGCCCATTGGGATAAAGAGTGAAAGATGTGTACATGGCAGGGTAGGGAGTGACGCTGGGGAGATGGATAGAGCGAGGTTCAGAAGTACAGAGGGAAAGACGCAGGGTATAGAATGAAAGATGCAGATGGTTGCTGCTCTTTTCATTATTAGAGAAGACAGATGTACCAAAAAAATTAAAATTAAACCCAAAGAGTCCTGTATAGGAGGAAAATGTACTATGCAAGATTTCTTGACCAATTTCTTCAATAAAATAGTTATCAAAATCAGGCGTGGTAGCTCATCCCTGTAATCCCAGAATTTGGGAGACAAGAGGAATGTTGGGAATTCAGGACCAGTCTACAGTTACAGAGTAATACCATGTTTCAAAAAACAAACACACAAAAAGATATAGAAACAATAATTAAGATGCAATATCTATATATTTGACTCTGTAAACTTTTCATATATAGTTACTTTGAGAGTTATCATGAAATCCACAGGAAAAAATGTTAATTTTTTTTGTTTGTTTTTTGGTTTTTTGCTTTCTTTTTCGAGACAGTGTTTCTTTGTGTAGGTAGCCCTGACTGTCCTGGAACTCACTTTGTAAACCATACTGGCCTTGAACTCACTGAGATCCACCTGCCTCTGCCTCCCAAGCGCTGGGATAAAAGCCACTGCCGGGCTGAAAAATGTTAATTTTAAGACAAGTGTTTTACCACTGAGATATCCCTACGGTCATTGTATTTTATAGCCACTGCTTAAATAAACGTCAATTACATTTGGGGAAGAATAGTATAGAGAAAGCTGGAGATAAAGGTTTCCGATTTTTCCCTTTAACAGCTACAGCTCTGCATGTGACTGTAAAAGGCCCAGTTTTCATTTGGTATTAAACTCTATTATTGGGAACTGGAGGCAAACAACACTGCTAAGCTCAAGACCACAGAAAAACAAAATAACTTAATGAAAGAAACCAAAGTCCTCACTTAACTTTATACCACTTATAGTGTGTGTGTGTGTGTGTGTGTGTGATGAGAAAAATCAATGAAACTGTCAAATAATAAAGGAAATATTCTTAAATATATTATTTCTGTAGAAAATTGTTTTCATATTAGCTATAAACTAATTACTAGGAGTTTTAAAAGTATCCCATTGTTGGAAGCCATATTTAACATAACTATACTTATCCCACATGCCTTACTATGCTTTTCTAATTCCTAGGTCTCTTTAGAGTCTCTGAAAGTTGAAGTTTATACCATATGCAATGCTGTCTCCTACCAACACCTATATGAAAAACTATTTCACAAAAATTTGTCACCAGAACAAGATTTGACTCAGTAAGAATTTACATTCTGGCCGGATGGTGGTGGCGCACACCTTTAATCCCAGCAGAGCCAAGCGGATCTCTTTGAGTTCGAGGCCAACCTGGGCTACAGAGTGAGTTCCAGGAAAGGCGCAAAGCTACACAGAGAAACCCTGTCTCGAAAACAAAACAAAACAAAAAGAATTTACATTCTGGTTTCATTTAATTAAATCAATGTTCTTTACACCCAAAACTAACATGTGTGAACACTAAAAGTAATATCCTCTAATTCAGCTTCATCATTCTAGGGTATCATCCACACTAGCTAGTTGCCAGAAAGTCTACATAAAAAAAAAAAAAAATCCCATCAAGACTTCAAACTCACTGTCCATTGGAACTTAAGGAAAACAGAATCTCTTTAGTTAGATGCTGGCACACATCTATAGCCCACACATAAGAGGCAGGGGCAAAAGAATCACAATTTCAAATTCAGCCTGAGCTACACAGTAAAATCATCTCAAAACCCAAACAACAATATCATGAAAAAGTCAGAGACAGTGGTGTACAGGCAATCTGTGAATTTTAGGCCAGTCAGCACTATATAGTGAGATCTTGTTTAAACAAAACATGAAAATCAGGACCTCTTCAATCTTTGATCAGTGAATATTCAAAGGACAGTATGGGTCCTTAAAAGGGACTGATGATCCTTAATATTATAACAATAAAGGAAGGTTGTCAAAGACATCGGTGACCCCAAATTTAGTTGTTCTTCATTCAACTTCAATTCCTGTATAATAGAGAATTACCTACTTTACTGACATTGCACCAAATAAGGTTTCTATGTTTCTGGAATATTGCCCTTTTTAGCCTCAAAGTTTGATCACAGCTACCTGGCATTTTGAAGTTTCTTAAAGAGCTAGAACATTTCACCTTGATGAACTTGAGAGGCAGTGGCTGCTTCCTAGTTATCATCCTCTACCTCACTGGTTACTTGCAACTCTGTCTTAAGGAGTAGAGCAGGAGGCACTGCCGGGTCTGATGGGGGAGGACTGCCGGGTCTGATAGGGGAGGACTGCCGGGTCTGATGGGGGAGGACTGCCGGGTCTGATGGGAGAGGACTGCTGGGGTCTGATGGGGGAGGCACTGCTGGGGTCTGATGGGGGAGGACTGCTGGGGTCTGATGGGGGAGGACTGCTGGGGTCTGATGGGGGAGACACTGCTGGGGTCTGATGGGGGAGGACTGCCGGGTCTGATGGAGGAGGGCTGCCGGGTCTGATGGGGGAGGCACTGCTGGGGTCTGATGGGGGAGGACTGCCGGGTCTGATGGGGGAGGACTGCCGGGTCTGATGGGGGAGGACTGCTGGGGTCTGATGGGGGAGGACTGCTGGGGTCTGATGGGGGAGGACTGCTGGGGTCTGATGGTGGAGGCACTGCTGGGGTCTGATGGTGGAGGGCTGCCGGGTCTGATGGAGGAGGACTGCTGGGGTCTGATGGGGGAGGACTGCTGGGGTCTGATGGTGGAGGCACTGCTGGGGTCTGATGGGGGAGGACTGCCGGGTCTGATGGGGGAGGACTGCCGGGTCTGATGGAGGAGGACTTCCAGGTCTGATGGGGGAGGACTTCCAGGTCTGATGGGGGAGGACTTCCAGGTCTGATGGAGGAGGACTTCCAGGTCTGATGGGGGAGGACTGCTGGGGTCTGATGGTGGAGGCACTGCTGGGGTCTGATGGGGGAGGGCTGCCGGGTCTGATGGGGGAGGGCTGCCGGGTCTGATGCGGGAGGACTGCTGGGTCTGATGGGGGAGGGCTGCCAGGTCTGATGGGGGAGGCACAGCTGCTTGAAAAAAAAAGCAGTAGTTTTTACCTTTCCTGGTCTTCTCCCTAATTTTTTTTCAATGAATCTTTGGATAAAAAGTAACATAAATCTTGAAAGGAACTCTGTGTCAATACTGGATCTCTAGAATCTATAACCTGAATATAATTTAGATTTCCTACTAAATATAATGTTTTTGGTAAGTTAAATATGACTTTTTAGTTTATCTCTTCAAAAAGTAGTGTTTAGCATATAAATGAAATCTATTTTCATTGAATAAAAATTAGAATATATGGAAAAAATAAGATCACTAAAGACAAACACAGTCAGTTTTTATTTATACTTTTCACGGTAGAAAACATGCATGAAGCTTTCTTTTCTAAGACTGATCATTTTGTAATTCTTCTTAGTGTAATGTGCATCTAAACTTTAACACCTATTACAGGATTTTAGAAGAGAAAGAGTGTAGTGGCAGAGAAACCTCAATGCTAAATTCAGAAGAGGCCATTTCTTTTCGCTTCCTTTTGTCCAACAAATGCTGCTGTTGAATCAGCTGTGAAAACAGGACTGAGCGTGTGACATCTGGTGATTTTGTTACTGCAGTCTGGTGCTGCCAGTGTGACATCTGTCACCTGTCCATGAGTCTGCTATTTTTAAAGTGTTCTTGTCGCTAGCTATCGTTCAAGCATAGTGTAAAATATAAGGTTTCAAAAGCTGGAAGGCATCCGTAGTCTTACTAAATGAAACGATGCTGTGGAAATCTGAGACTGCCCCACTTTGCTCACATCACAGGACATGACAGGAGTTAGGAGAGGATGGAGACAGAGGGTAGGGAACTGAGTTATGTTTGTTTACAATGGAAAAAAAATCACATCTTCATAAACTCAATTGAT